CAGCAGGAGGGCATTTGCCTTGCACACGGCCGATCCGGGTTCGATTCCCAGCATCCCATATAGTTCCTTGAGCACTGCCAGGAGTGATTCCTGAGTACAGAGTCAGGAGTAAACCCTGTGCATCACCCAGTGTGACCCAAAAAGAAAAAAGAAAAAAAAAGAAAGAAAGGGTCTAAAGTTGCTGAAGGCCCACCACCCTGCGAAGCATGGCTGCCCCAACCAAGCACCCACAAAACCAGTTGTGATTCTAAGTAATGGGAACTGCAGTCAGGAGATGGCTCTGGGGTGGAAAGGAATAATAATGCACCCAATAATCCTTTCTATCACCTAGAAAAGAAAAATTAACCCATCATCGGTGTGCAGTGGAACCTCTGGAACAGGATGAATGCACAAGACACACCCAATAATCAAAACTGGCAGGCGATGTGATTTAGGAAGTTCATTCACGCACCCCTCCACGAGAGAACCTAGGGAGGTGTTAGCAAGATGCTTACTCATGCCCTGTTGCTAGGATCACAGAGATAAACGTGGGGCAATAAATCCCCAGGGAGACTTCAGGGAAGGATGCCAGAGGAGACCCCAGCACTTGAAGAAGAAGTTACTGAAGGCTTCCTGGAACCATGAGCACCAAGAGTAAGTTTCCCACAGGAAGGAAGAAATGGTCACGAGTGTGCCAGGCAGAAGGCAGGACCTGGGCAAAGCCCCAGAGGTGTGAGAGAACGTGGGCAGCGGTCTCCTTCGAACCACTGACCACAAAACTTGCCATCTGGAAAGTTTCTCCATTCCCCCAACACTTATTATAGGAAAAGTAATGATGGATTGATTCCTCAAATGAATTCCCACAGCCTGGGTTTCGCATCCAAATGCCCAGAGGGCAACAGCTGGAAAAGGAACAGGGAGCAGCAGGCTGGGTGGGGGCGGCTGGGAAAGGAGGACACTGGCCCCTTCCAAAGGGGACAGCCTCCGCCTCACTCTGGCCAATCTATCCCATGTGGGAATTTGGGCCCAATAGTGCCAAGTTCTTCTATTTTTTTTCCTAGTGAACCAGGAAATCTGGATTTTTATAAGAAATTGCTTAGTTCTTAAATGTTGGAAACTGGGCGGGGGGGGGGGAGGAATTAAATTTTGAATCATAAGGTCATTCCAACGAAACTCATTTGGTGGCCTGATTCAGCCTGAATCTTTGATGGAAAGTGATAAAGAAGTTATACAAAAATTAATAAAAGCATTATGCTGTTATAGCAGCAAATGATTCCAACCAGAGGGATATTTCATTATCTGTATTTTTTGTGTGCAGTCAATCTCAATCTCAATCTCTTAAAGGCATACCATTTAACACGCCCCCCCCCCTACCAGAGGGTGGAAGTCAGCTTTGGGCACACCCCATTGTGCTCAGGGCTTACTCCAAATAGATTCAGGGGACCACATGGGATACCAGAGATTGATCATGGACTGGCAACATAGGGGCAAGCGCAGTACCGCCATATTATCTCTCTGTCCCCCAGGGTAATTTTTTAAAAGTCATTTAATAAATCACATCACACCAATTCCTAAAATCTGACATCAAATGTTTCCTGTGCTCTTCATGTTGCTACCCAAATCTCCAACCATCAAGTGATTAGCCTTCATGCTAGACCTGAACCTACTGGTCTCTCCAACCACCCTCTCCTGCCATCTTCCTGTTGGGACCCTCCTATCTTGCCCATGAAAACTGGAATTTAATTTTTCACAAAACAAAATGTATGTGTGTGTGCATATGTGTGTGTGCCCTTTCAAAAAAACCTTCCCTGTACCCTCACTTTCCTCACTGGACACCCCTAATACCAGAAACAACGTCTTAACACATCATAGACAGTATCTGCTAAATTAATAAAGAATCCTCTCTAAGGCACCTCAATTCCTCTTGAAGTCATCACCTATAAAATTTATTCATTGAAGTAATTTAGTCAAAGTCTACAAAACAAACACTTGAAGAGGCAAGTAGAATGAAACAGCTCATACTCTGAATGCAGGATTCAAATCTCAGCCTTGCCATGCTAAGTCACCCTGGACAAACTGTTTAATGTCTCAAAAACCTTTCATTCTCTGCAAGAAAAAAAAAAAGACACACTCAGTATGGTGATTGCAAGGATTAGATTGAGTTGAACAAGGACAAAGTGCATAGGAAAGTGCTAGGTAGATAATAAGTACCATATGCACTAAGCATTAGCTATTGTTTTCATGTTTACTTGTCTGATTTTGATTGCTCTCTCTCTTCTCCAAACAGACTGACTTAGTGAAGGCACAGCCCACAGCTGGATTCTCACAGGCAACTGCACCGGTCCCCCAGAGGGGCAGATGGCTTTGGATTTGGACCCGGTATGCAACCAGGAGTACATATTTGACTCTCTGAGTCTCTGTTTCAGTATCCATAAAAAGAGTTAATATCTACTCCACAAAAGCAGTGTAAAGATTAAATCAAATAAAGCTTGTGAAACAATTCTGGAACTAGAGGCACTAAACTTTGGAAGAATCCATCTGCTTAGCAGCTAAGAACTGGCTGCTTTAGGTACAGGCATTATACATAGCCTATTGGTGATTCAAATCAATACACAACGCTAACTCTAGGCTTTGTTCTCTTCAGTTTCTAAAGTAGTCTCTGGCAACTTTGTGGTGATTTTTTAGATGCTTTTCTTAGCTATTCGTCAAACAGGAAACACACTACTCATTACAACCAGCACCATGAAATTAGATATTCTAGTGTTTAAAAAATTCTCTCCAGTGGTAATAGGATGTCACTGCAATGCTCATCATCAGACATTAAAACACACACACACACACACACACACACAATGAAAGTGAAAACAAAACTATTTGAATATATGCTATATAAGTGACTTTATACATAGGTAACTAAATTCCAATCATTCCACAAGACTGATAAGACTATTTACACTTTAGAGTTATAAACACTTAGATTCAGAGACAGTAACTTAGTTTATTTCTAAGATACCCAAAGTTCCTGTTGGGACCCTCCTATCTTGCCCATGAAAACTGGAATTTAATTTAATTTAATCTGTCCCAACTGTAAATATTGGAGAAAGATTTTAATACCTGACTTCAATACCATCATTTTGTTTATCACAGAATTTCCATCTTCCAAAGTTCCTCTATATTGGCTCTATTACTAATATCTGATGAAATGTGAGATGGAATTATCTTAATGAAATTTAAAATCAGAGTAATTATTAAAGAAAAACTCCATTTTCACCCTACTATCATTGAGAGAGAAAGAGAAAAGAAAGAACAAGTGCATTTATTTAGAATAAAAGCAACTAGACACTTTATCTTTCATAGTTTTAAATTCAGAAGATACCTAGACATAAGCAAATAGATATCATTATCAAGAAGATGGGACACAATCAAAAAGATCAGATGAGGCACTAAAAAATAAGATAGGGAAAACCCAAACTTACTTTATACAAAAAAATAAAAATCAGACTCTCCTCATTTTTACTAGAGTTTTCTTTTCTTTAGTTCCTAAGACAAGGTACTTAACTTGTCCCTTCCAGAGATAACAGGAAGTTATCAACTCACCACTAAGGGCAGCAAAGTCCCAGATTCCTCCAAAGAATTTAACGCACTGGGAAAGGTATATTAATCAATCAGAGAATCACTTCCCTAATAATTTTTCAGGGAAACAGAAGCAGAGGGGCAGAGACAAGGGAGATGGAAGGGAAAGATGAAAGTTTCCAAACCCACCAACAAATTCCTCGGGCCTTCCTGCCAGGCTTTTGGTTCAGAGTTTTAGAATGAACAATGAAAATCTCCAACCATCAAGTGATTAGCCTTCTGCTCTGCAGACAAGGGCAAAAAGAGGAACCAAAAGTGTTAAAGGATGAACTGGACTATCTCTCTGCAGCCCCTACAAGCTAGTTAATTATCTTCCATTAGCACTGAACTGTCACGATTGGCATCAGCCCGTTAACTCCCTTGACCTTTCTCAGTCTGCACCTTGTTACCCTACAATGTTTCATGTTTATAAAGATAGGAAACTACAGCTGTTCCAGACGGACAAAACTTAATTTACATTTGGCCTTCATTAAGATGAGAGTCAGAATCATTGAGACCAAATGGAAAAGCTAGAGTGCTGGGGGTTATGAAAAATTCAAATGGCATTTTCCCTTTTATCTGACAATTCTTATTAAGGAGACATACATCAACCTAAAACACATAAACCTTAAATATAAAGGGCACGATGAAGGTCTCCTGCTGTAGGAGGACCTGAATGGCTTTGCCCATGAGCCACGATGGCTCAGCTGCAGTATGTCTGTCTTCTGGGGAGTCTCACATCCAAAGTGTGCCCAACTCCCTCTGACAACTGATTCCAGGTCCACAGACAAGGAGAGCAGGAAGGACCACAGTACTGAGGTGAGAGGCCAGCCAACGGTCCTCTGGTTCATCTTCAAGGCCAATTAGCCTAATGTCCTACTGATTTTATGCCCTCAGCTACTGTTTTCTCAACCATATGACCCCCCTGCAGGTTCCCTGGATATTCCAAAGTCTCATAAATGGGGGGTCCAGTAATCAAGCATGGGGACTAACTGGTCAGACTCTCGAGTCACAGGAAGGAAACAAATTCTTGTGTTCAAATCCCAGTTCAGTCACACAACTTACTACCGCTTTGGATGAGATGTTTCTTTTCACTGAGCTTTCGTTTTCCTGTCTACAATACACAGACACAGACAGATGGGGGAAGAAGTGGGGAGCTCCTTGCAGCGTGTGGTTGGAGTTCAAAGAGATCATCTGTGCCAAATACTTAACCCAGGGCCCTGCACGAGCTAAGCATGTAAACATGGAATGACTTAACTGCAGCCTCATCAATAAAATGGGATCAAGCTTCCTGATAGAGCTGCTGGAAAAATCAAACAGAAGGGACTTTAGCAAGGTTCTGGATACAGACAGAGCCACAATAATGGAAGCGTTGCACCAATGCCTCCCTTCCTCTACCCTGTACTCACCTCTTTGAGCCACAGAAGCTTGGGAGCCTGCATCTCCACCGACATCACGCCACCCACGTACTGCAGAACCCCATGCTTGGTGTCATTGATCCTATTCACCTGACTGACTGCTCGGTGGTCCATCCACATGATAATGTTGCGACGGGAATCCCCTAGCACAGAAGAACACAGATGGGGACACACTTTCATTCTCTTCCTCCAAATGCAAGGGACCACAGTGGCTGATCGTGAGCAAGTGCAATTTCTTCTACCAACAGCGAGCAAGTGAGAGCACTACCACCCACGCTGACCTGAACAGTCCCTAAGTCTTAGATTTCACTTTAAGGGATTGGTTCTTGGACTAGAGCCCCAAGGCAAAATGTCTGCACTGAGAACAGTCAAGATCTACCAATTAATTGAACTATCATTTAATGTTCCCCAACTTCTACACCTTTTCTCACCCTTTTGTTCCAGAAAAACTTTCCTAGTACATATTTAGGAAAAAGCCCCATGAAATAAGTCTAAAGCAAATTTTTGGTCCTTCTAGAAATATCTCCTTAAATACAGGAAACTATTTTGATGATATAAATACAAGTAATAGAATATATCACATATATATAAATATAATAGCTTTTATTTACATTATTCTACCACATGGATTAAATTCAAAGGATGTAGATTCTCCTCCTTCACCTGGGATATGTCTGGTGCAATGGGAAGCAGATACATCTGGGAAGCAGGAAGGTAGACGGAAGGGTAAGGTGGAGTGACAGATAGATTGAGAATGTTTTTAGGTTTGTCTTAGTCTCAGGGTCCTCATCCATAAAATGGGGACAGTGAAACCCCATAGCCTATAAGGATTAACTAATCCCTTTAATTCACTAAACAAAAGATAATGTGCACAAAGACGATGACAGGCACATATCACTTACTAGGCGCTCAGGAGTAGCATGTTGCAAGGAACAGAATTTAATTTAGAACCAGCTAGAAAAGGAGCACAGACACCGCCCTGTCATCTTCCCTGCCATCAGGAAGCACAGGGGAACCAACTGTCCCTTTGTCTCTCTAGCATCCATTAAATTATCACATACCAATGGCAAGACATTTTTCTTCTGGGCTCTGCTTCCCTGGAGGCAAAATGCAGAGAAAAGCCATGGCTGGACCTGGAGATTCTAAGAAGAAAGGCTGTGTATGGAAGACTTTCCTTCTGAGCCAGGCATTGCCACATCATTTTACTTTATGGCCAAATAACTGCAGCAATGATACAACATTGCTAACAGCAAATGTTTATAAAACTCTCTCTCTCTCTCTCTCTCTCTCTCTCTCTCTCTCTCTCTCTGTGTGTGTGTGTGTGTGTATGTGTGTGTGTGCGTGCAGGCGCACACCCAAGTCTCAAACTTTGTTCCCAGCATTTTATACACAGAATCTCACCTAATCCTCAGAACAATCCAGTAATCTAGCTCACTTTCAGTGAAAACCTGACTCCGGAGCTGACAACATGCCAACTGGCTCCCAGCTGGATAAAGACTTTACTATGCTTTGAAAACAGATCTCTGCAGAGAATAGGTAGAAAAGTTGGTAAAATGAAGAAAGCAGATCTGGGCACCTTAGCATGAATAATGAAATCAGCAGGGCCATGTTAAGTCACAATACCTATTGTTTCTTATCATGGGCACACGCATCTGTGGTCAAAGAAAGCACTTGCAAGACAGAGGGCAGATCACCACAGCCATGTGCAGGTGACAGACTGGCATGGGCCCTGAGCACAGGCCTCATCACTGCTGGAGGGCACCTGGGTCCACACACCACTGGGTATGCTCCCCCAAACTGAGAACAGGGGGACTGAGACCACACCTGGTGGTGCTCAGGGCTTATTGCTGGCTCTTTGGCCATGAATAAGAGCTCAGAGTTGGTGCTTAGCAGACCAAGTGGTGCCAAGAAGTTGAACCAGGGTCTTCAGGATCCTAGGCAAGTGCATTAACCCTTGTACTATCTCATCAGCACTGCCCCTTTTTAAATTAAAAAAATGGTGAGGCAGAGATGGTGAAATTCCACCAGTTTATCCTGACAAGTGGGCAAATAGATGTCTGTTATTTTCAGTATGCTTTAAAGAGGTAAGATGCTAAGAAAAAACCAAGACATCTTTAAAAATGTATTTTAATTGGGTCATCAGCATAATGAGACAACATCGTAGTTACCAGCTTCTCTATCTGGAGATATTACATGTGCAATAAAAACTCCTCAAGCAATAGGAATATTTTGAAAATAATAGAAAGTACACAAGGTCTTCCAGAAGTCCATCCAAGTTTTGTGTATGTGTATGTGAGTACATAAGATCTCCCATTAGTTTCTCCATATTATGTATGTGTATGTGTTTGTGTGTGTGTGTGTGTGTGTGTGTTTGCAGGTGCAGATGTGGGTAAGAGAGAAGTGATTCTAGAGTTTAACAGAATGTAAACTCTGTTCCCAGACTATGTAATGCTTCGGAATCACAAAGCTAATAGAGTTAATAGCTTTGATTCTACTGGTGTCCAGGTCTCATCTAGAACTGCCATCAAATCAGAATGGGAGTGTGCTGCACACAGCCCTGTGTGGGTGTTGGTGGATAATTGGTATGGCTTCTTGAATACTGTATAGAATGTAAGTCGCAGCTGCTTCCAGCCTAATAAACCTGCTGCTCAGCTTTCGACTGTAAGGACAAGCCAATCAGATAGTCCCACCTCTATTCAAAGAGGCTGATGAAATGCAGTCAGCAGGGCACAATGAGATGTGTGTAGAATCGATGGCTTAGTTATACTGACTGTGATTGATCACTTGATCACTTGACATCCTGTTACTCATCGATTTGCTCAAGCGGGTGCCAGTTAACGTCTCCATATGTTCTGGTCGCATGCTATGTAGCCCAATGGTTTCTGCTTGCTCCAGGAACACAAAGAGCCTAAAACCGATGGTTCAGGGTCTTGACAAAGTAGTCTGACCATCTTGTAGGTGGGCAGCCATGCGATCTTTTGATGTCCCGTGGAATCCAGTTGGTAACAGCTCTAGTCCAGTGGTCGTCTCCAAATCTCATTAGGTGTCCAGCCCATCTGATTTTCAATGCCTTGGCAAATGAGACAGTGTCCCTGATTCTTGATCATTGACAGAGGTCAGAACTCCGGATTCTTTCTCTCACTTGAGTGAAACATGATACTCCAAGCAGAGCTCTTTCGATTCCTCTTTGGGAGACCCAATAGCGTTATCATCCTGTTCTCGTAGGGCCCAGGTCTCTGAGGCACATATTAATGCAGGAAGAACAGTGGAATCGAAGAGAGGTGCCCAGAGCCAGAGGTCTTCATCCTCTTAGCTATTTCTTCGACACTCTTGAAGCCATTCCAAGCCGCTCTCTTCCTCTTGTACAACTCAGGTGCCAGGTCATTTGTCATGTTGACTTCTCGACCTAGGTACACATAACTGTTGCATTCAGAGATGTTTGTTCCATTGAGAGTGAATGGAATGTCAGGAACAAGACATTTCTCATAAACACTGTCTTTGTGAGATTCAGCTGTAGTCTGACCTTTCTATACTAACGGTCGAATTCAGCCAGCATTTGTGCTGCTTGGATGATGTTTGGTGTTATTACAACAATGTCATTAGTGAAGCGAAGGTGGTATAGTTGCCAAATGTTGATCTTCACTCCCATTCCTTCCCATTCCAGTTGTTGCATGACATTCTCAAGCGTGGCACTGAAGAGTTTCGGTGAAATGGTATCACCCTGCTAAACCCCTCTCTTGACATGGATGATCACTTCCTTGTAGAATGGAGAGATCCTGGTAGTGAATCCGTAATACAGCTCATGGAAGATCCTGATGTATTGAGTTTGAATGCTCTGATTGGCTAGGGTTTCGATGACCGCTTCAGTCTCAACAGAATCAAAGGCTTTCTTCAAATTAATGAACATTAGACAGAGCGGCATCTTGAACTCCTGAGAAACCCAATGAGCTTGGTTATTGTGTGGATATGGTCCATCGTGCAGAATCCTTTTCGGAACCCAGCTTGCCCGCATGGTTGTCCTTCATCTAGTGTTCTGCCAATCCTTTTCAGGATGACTCGAGTGAACAGCTTGTAGACGACAGACAACAGGCAGATCAGGTGATAGTTGCCAATGTCGTGGGTGTCTCCCCTCTTGTACAGTTGGCCAGGGGAGAAGAATGAAGAAGATTCCAAACAGGACATAGCATGGGAAACAAACAATGCACAAATCAAAGAAGATTTGAGTATTACAGAATTGGAGGCAATGGGGCCCAGCAAACTGGGGTTCTATAGTTAACTTGATCACTTGATCACTTGACTTCCTGTTAATCGTCGATTTGCTCAAGTGGGCACCAGTAACGTCTCCATTTGTCCCTGTCGCGTGCTAGTGTAGCCAAATGGCGTCTGTTCACCCTAGGAACATGAAGAGCCTCAAACCGATCGTTCATGATCTTGATGAAGAAGTCTGACCATCTGGTAGGCGGGCGGCCACGCGGTCTTTTGACATCCCATGGAATCCAGTCGGTAACAGCTCTAGTCCAGTGGTCGTCTTTAAATCTCATTACGTGACCAGCCCATCTGATTTTTGACACCTTGGCAAACGAGACAGCGACCCTGAGTCTTGATCGTCGACAGATGTCAGAACTCCAGATTCTTTCTCTCATTTGAGTGAAACGTGATATTCCAAGCATAACTCTTTCAATTCCTCTTTGGGAGACCCGAATAGTGTTATCATCCTGTTTACGTAGGGCCCAGGTCTCTAAGGCATATGTTAATGCAGGAAGAACAGTGGAATCAAAGAGATGTGCCCGGAGCCAGAGGTTCTTTGTCCTCTTAGCTATTTCTTCTACGCTCTTGAAGGCGTTCCAAGCCACTCTCTTCCTCCTGCGCAGCTTGGGTGCCAGGTCATTTGTCATGTTGACTTCTCGACCTAGGTACACATAGCTGTTGCATTCGGAGATGGGCGTTCCATTGAGAGTTAGCTTAGGAACATATTTTTCATCCATGTAATCTGGAGTGATAGCACAGCGGTAGGGTGTTTGCCTTGCACGCAGCCAACATGGCTGACTCGAGTTCGATTCCTCCGCCCCTCTCAGAGAGCCCGGCAAGCTACTGAGAGTATCTCACCCGCACGGCAGAAACTGGCAAGCTACCCATGACGTACTCAATATGTCAAACACAGTAAGAAGAAGTCTCATGATGGAGACATTACTGGGCCCGCTCGAGCAAATCGATGAACAATGGGAGGACTGTGACTGTGACTGTGTAATCTGTTCATTAATAATCCAAACACCTCACCAAAGGTGTTTCAGGCACACTAGTGGGAGGAAAAAAACCGTGAATTAACAAAATTTCCACAATACTGGGCTCCTGTTGCAGGGCAACTGAAATAGTAACTGTCTGCCTGACCCCATGGGTTCCAGTCCCCTCCCATTAAGAGTTCCACAGGTGGTAAAATGTATCCAGAGTTGCAGTCTGAGCTTGGGGCTGCGGGTATGCCTTCAGAAATATTATATTGCAAAGCCCTCTCCAATCCAAAAGCTGTTGTGAGTTGGAGTCATCAAAGGAAAAGGAAGGCAATGAGAAAAGGCTAACACGGAGGTCATCCCATCCATGAGCAATGGTTAGTGTTGTTCAGCTGTTGTCCTCCATGGAATTATTTCTACATCTAATGATGGAAACTGTTCTTATGATCTTGTGGATTTTGTTGCTATGGTGATGGTTCATGAATGATCGGTTTGAGGCTCTTCATGTTCCTAGAATGAACAGACGCCATTGGGCTACACTAGCACGTGACAGGGACAAATGGAGACGTTACTGGTGCCCACTCGAGCAAATCGACGATTAACAGGAAGTCAAGTGAGCAAGTGATCAAGTGTTGATGGTTTACGTCTGGATCTAACCGCCCCAAGCTTCTTCCATGTTCTCTTCTGTAATCCAAGAAGAGAATGTGGGGAAAGAACCTGTGAATCTCTTGAGGTGGGCATGGTAATGTTGGTAGAGGGAGCTGTAAAAAACCCGTGAAACCACCTTTAAAATGTTCTTTTCATTTACAAGCCTAAGGCTAATGTAGTTCAAATACAGTGTAGCCTTAATAGAAGTTACTGAAAGGCACAAAACCAGGGAGGATTTGATGAATAGGCACATTTTAACCTAGTAGGGGGAATAAAATTATTTCAACACTTGTAATTAGGGTTGTAACCTACATAGCCTTTTAATAGAAGGTCTGTTAACAGGATGCAATTCTACCTACAATGAGAATAAAGGTGTCATCCAAAAGGGTCACATCCTAGCATGTTTAACAAGGAACTCCCTCCTCCACTTCCACAGTTCTTATTCTTAATATCTTAATGGTCCATTTATCTATGTCCAGCAGTAATCCTTATCCTAGAATTACCACCTAACTCCCTTAAAATGATCTTTCCCAAAAGGCCACCATCACCTCCAGCCAACCAAACACAAACCTCATGATTAGGTAAGTTACATAAATTAGTAATCTGGTTGGAGAGAGGTGTCTCCCAAGCTTGGCTCGGGGGGCCTAGGGACCACTTGCATCTATATTCAGTCAACTGGGCTGTTAACTTCAGAGCTAAGGCCCAAAGTTGCATTGCAGCTCCAGACCTGAAGTGCCAGAGGTACAAGGCCATACTGGTGGTGCTGGAAGGGCACATCACTACACCCAAAGATGTTTAGGAGGAACACACTGCCAGAGATCAAGTCTGGTCAGGTTCGTGCAAGGCAAGGCATATGCCATAACCCCTGTCTATTCCCAGAACCCCTGTGAATTAGTAATTTTGTTTATTATAAAATTTTTTAATAGTGAGACATCATGAGGTACAGATGCAGACTTACACATTTTTGTGCTTGGGTTTCACTTATACAATGATCAAATACCCATCCCTCCACCAGTGCCCATTTCCCACCACCTCGGATCCCAGTATCCCTGCCACACCCCATCCCCCCCATCCCATTCTGTCTCTTTGGCAAGGCATTCCCCTCTGTTCTCTCTCTCCTTTTGGGTGTTGTGGTTTGCAAAAGACACATTGAGTGGCAATCATGCTTGGTAAATAATCCCTAGTTTATGGTTATCTACAGCCAGAATTTGAGATCATATATTTGAGGGGCTGGTGATATAGCTCAGTGGTAAAACATATGCTTTGAATGCATGAGATCTGGGTTTGATCCCCAGAAATGAAAAATATGCATATTGTTTTAAAGATACATTTATCATATTAGAAGGTAAAGTCCTGGGAACCTATGGGACACTATGGCTCGCGGGCCCATCCAAAATCAGAAATCCTCCAGCATCTATAGCAGACCCTCCCCTGACTCAACTTAGAGTCAGCAAAGGAAGTGTGGGCAGCCACCCAGGTGACCGGTTAGAGGGTCAAGTCTCCTAGTGACGTAGTTCTCATGTCATAGAGCTGCAATCTACTGTTTGGGGCGGATTACTCCGCTCTCTGCTTCCTGAAGTGGTCAAGACCTGGGCTGCCCTGCCCTCCTGGGTCAGAACAATGCTAACTGAAACAGTGAAAGGTCATGGAGAACAAGGAGGACCATTCTTCTGACTCATTTCTGAATTTAATCTGCACTTAATAAGGCTGACCTAGCACATTGACGGTTATAATAAACATAAGAACATGAGAAGAGGGACTGGAGTGATAGTACAGCGAGTAGGGCATTTGCCTTGCACATAGCCAACCTGGGTTTGATTCCCAGCATCCCACACAGTCTCCCAAGCACCTCCAGGAGTAATTCCTAAGTGCAAAGCCAGGAGTAACCCCTGTGAGTCACTGGGTGTGACCCAAAAAGCAAAAAAAAAAAAAAAAAAGAACATGAGGAGAAATGTGTGTGTGTGTGTGTGTGTGTGTGTGTGTGTGTGTGTACCTTCATCATCACCACTAAGCTCTAACCATTGACCTTTTTAACATAAGTCATTCACAAAATTCACAGCAGTAGCAGAGCTGAGATATGAGCTCCACCTGACTCCAACTCCAGGGTGTCCCATTGCATTGTGCCCTCAGATCTACAGACACCAGTTAAAGGCACTTCTGTACCGCACACGAGGGTTCTAAGTACACTCCAGCCAAACATATTCCTAATGGCCATCGTGGCCATGCTGAATGCAAGTGTCCACACCACATTCCTTAGAGGGAGCGTCCATTTAGAGTACTACAGTCTCCACCATTCCCAAATGTCCAGCTCATTAATTTAAATATCACTGGAAGTTTATCTCCTCATATAGGATCTCATTTTTCTAAAAGCATACCTCCCACAACTCATTCTAGGATACCTGATCCAGGTAAGACTTTTGGGTTTGCTGACTCGGGTCTAGGGCTACCCACCAAAATTCTTCCAAGGGGACACAGCCTCACCTGCTGTAAAAGATTTCTGACCCATGTGGCCCTTTACCTTTGAAACACTTCGTAGCTACGGTTACAAGTGTCTGTTATCACTACGGCATGAAATGGGCATGTCCTTGGGTCTAGCTGCTAAAAACAGAGGCCATCTGTTTTGCTTCTGTGTGATGCGTGGTCCTGTCTGCCTAGTTCTGTTTCTTCTAAAGACATTTAAGTCACCCACTCCAATAAAGAAGGCTCACATGCAAAACAAAGACTGGAGCTGACACATCCTTCCTAAGACACTCCAGATCACACGTCTGCTCCATGCTGCTCACTGAGCTAAGGACTCCCATAGTTTCTTTATCAAGCTTTCTCCTGGAGCTTTGGGGGCTGGAGCCAAGCCTTCCCCTGTTCCAGACTCCCATGCCACCCCACTCCTATCGATTGCACATCAAGCATTTAAACTCTGGGACCTGACTCCTGGCCTCCTTGTTCCACCTATAATTCCCAAGATCTTCAACCTCATTTCACCTGGTAAGTGGTCTCCAGTCTTATTTCACCTGGGCACTTTGGCTTGGTCACCCAAGCTACAACCTGCCAGTCTCCCACCTGCCACCAGAGAAAGATGAAGGAAAGGTCATACCTTCCTGGTTTACAGATAATGGCTGAAACTGCTTGTCCAAGACAACCAGAGAACACGTGGCATCAAACCCAAGTCCTCGGATCTGGGATAAATCAATCCCTTGTACAACTTTCTGTTTAACAAACAAAAACACAAATTACAATGCCAGACTATTAAACAGACAATGTAAAAATGCATTATGACTAGAAATAAATGATAATTTAAAAACAATGCCATAAAAACAGATCTTCCATCTGTTTAATATTACTGATACCAAAAACCCCAGAGAATTAAAATAAATTACTAAGAACGGGTCAACCAATCTACTTGGAAATAAGGCCAAAGACATAAATCACTACATAAAACAAAAAAACACAAACATACAAAGAGATTCCCAACTTCATGACAATTAATTAATACAAATAAAAATAAATATTTTTCCTTTTTAATACTGGCAAAAATATAAAGACTAAACAATAATGGCAAGATAGGGAGATGTGAACCATCTTGATCATTATTCCAATAATGTAACAATGTATTAAAATATTCTGTAGAATAACATTATAATGTTCATTAAAATTAAAAACAGACAAAATATTTGGCACAATAATCCTATTTCCAAGAACCCTTCTTAGCAAATTATTAGCATAAGTAAAATTATACATATATGAAGATTAACTATAGAATTACTCAAGAATATATTTAAAAATTGGAAGACAATTTTATTAAATAAATCACATGTGAGACATCTGTAAAATGTAATATTCTACCAGCACTAAAAATAAAGAGAAGAAACTTCTGGATGCAGCTGTGTGAAGAGGCTGGCAAATACACTTAAAAATTTTTAAATATCAAAACTTTAAAAAAGAAACAACGCTTAGTAAAGGAAAGATTTTACTAAAATTTTTTACATAATCATATTATACTGATCCCAAGAGCTAAACAAAACCTTAGAGAAATTTAAGGTACCACAGATAAATACATACTAAAGGTATAAAACTCTTAAAATATATTAATGATAAGTCTTGCTTCACTTAAAAATGTATTATGCAACAAGCATGCAAGAATAATTTAATACCCATATAATACTGTTAAACATTTTTAAAGAATAAAGTGTAAATGGTGATTGCTCACTTCAACAGATGTTGCAAAAAATACACAAACATTCTATAAAGCAAATAACAAGGGAGCTTCCACAACTTAATAATGAGAATATGCAAAACAAAATACTGATAACATCACTTTTCATGATAAAAATGAATGACTGCACTCTATTGGTTGCAATATTAATACTCCCAAGCTGGAAATAAATCAAACAAAGAAAAGATATTCTCTTTTACCACTCTAATTCAATCTTGGGCCAAAGATTCTTGCCAATGCAATAAGACATGAAAATAATTTTTTTAAATACAAATTTGAAAGGAGTAAGTTGAGTTTTATTTTACAGATGATAAAATCATATGTATAAATTTAAGGAAGTTACAGTATATATTATATATATATTGTTTCATACGTTGCATACTATTTAAATTTATATATGTTATTATACTATATACCAATAGTCTTTATAAAATATTAAAACTATTTAAAATATTTAAATATAAGCATGTGTAACAATTAACATTGAAACTACAATTACAATCATAATAATATCAAAAACACAGGAAATACATGAGAAATAAATTATCAAAAGAATGACAATAACTATAACCTATATGTATATATATATATAATAAAACATTGTTATAGAAAAGCTACCAATTGGAAAAATTTGCCATATTCATAAAATAAAATGTTCTACAGGGCTAGAATGCAATTCTCCTCAAATTAATCTACATATTTTATATAGATCCTAAAAGTACAGGGTGTTTTATAGAGATTGATAAACTGATCCTAGCATATATACCAAAATTTAAAGCATAAGACAGGATCGAGTCCTTTTGAAAAACAGATTTAAAGAACAGGATTTTAAATTTTTCAAAAGAAGTGCACCTCTCCCCCCAAAAAAACTAAAAACATATGCTTATTGGTTGGAGAAAATGTTTGCAAATTATGTGTCTGATAATAAATTGACACAGAAAATATGCAAATCCTTATAACTCTATAATAACAGGGCAAACCCAAATAAAAAACAGATAAGGATTTGAATATACACTTCACCACGGGAAACAAATGACAAATAAGCACCTTAAAATATGCTAATATTATCATCTATTAAGGAAATTCAAGCCAAATTCACAATGGTTACCAGAACCACTGTAATTTAAAAAGCTGATAACACTAAGTGATAGAAAATTATGGATAAAGTAGAACCATTCTATATTGCAGGTTCAAATGTTGCACTGTAACACTGTCCTCCCATTGTTCATTGATTTGTTCAAGTGGGCACAAGTAGCATCTCCATTGTGAGACTTGTTGTTACTGTTTTTGGCATATTGAATATGCCACAGAGAGCTTGCCAGGCTCTGCTGTGCAGGTGGGATAATCTTGGTAGCTTGCTGGGCTCTCTGAGAGGGACAGAGTAATCAAACCTGGGCCGGTCACGTGCAAGGTAAATGCCCTACCCACTGTGCTAAATCTGTAAAATAAAAGAAGTTTGGCAGCTTTTAAAAAATTACACCATACACAGAGAAATTTCATCATATGTCACCCAAAGACTTGTATCTGACTATTCACAGAAGCATTATTCATAATACTCCAAAGCTGAAAACAAATCAAACATCCCTCATGATTTAACTAAATTGTTAAACTCAGTGGGGCGTACTCACACAATGAAACAGTGCTCAGCAAATAATTTAAAAAAGCACAACAGCAACATGATGAACAACACAAATGATTCCCACAACATCATGCCAAAGAAGCCAGACACAGAAGAATGTACATTGTATGGTTCCACTTATATCAAATTTCTAAAGGAGAATAATGAGAGGAAGCAGATAAATAGCAATCTAAGACAAGCTGGGAACAAACTACCAAAAAAAGCATGCAGGGTCTTTTTCCTGGGTAAGGACAGCCTTCTTAGAGCTCTGCAAATGATTATTTGTATCATCATGGTGATGATCACACACCAACTGAGTAAAAAGCACCAAAATAAATATGCACAATAGATTGATCTTATGGTCTGTGAGTTTGGCTTTTTGTTTTGTTTTGCTTTGTTTTTTAAACTGGGCTATAGGAGATAGATTGGAAAGTGATTCATAAGTATTAATAAAGTATAGAAGTGTGTCTATACACATCGCTGTATCACTGTATCACTGTCATCCCATTGTTCATCGATTTGCTTGAATGGGTGCCAGTAATGTCTCCATTCGTCCCTGTCACATGCTAGTGTAGCCCGATGACGTATTGGGTGGGGGCTGTTTCAGGGTCAGGGGAATGAGAACCATCATTGTTACTGTTTTTGGCATATCAAGTATGCCACGGGTACTCTCAGTAGCTTGCCGGGCTCTCCGAGAGGGACAGAGTGTCTATACACATATACAATAAATTCTAAATAGGGTTTGTGTCTGAGAGCAGAAGCTGGAGGCTATGGGGGGAGGAGCTTTTTCACTTCTTTATGCAATATTTTGGGCGAGAATGCCTGCAAAGCAGTATTCAGGTGTCTGGGGGGCAACCCTGGCAAGACTCAGCAAGCCTGGAAGGATGGTTCAATGCCAGGGCCTAAGAATGCAGTGTTGTTTGGGTTCTGCATGCTGAGGAGCACCAGAGTACCCCAGTGGCCCTGGGGTGAGGCATTAGGGCTAGAATTAGCAATCTGAGGGAGTATGCAGTGCCAGGGATGAAGTCAGCTCCCTGACCTCTATGCTGTCTCCCTGGCCTATCTTAATGTAATTTTTAAAGTTGCATAGTAATAGATTAATTGGTCGAGACTTTCATTTTTATCTAATTGGTTTCCTTTCCTGACAAAGTATAAGTACTTCTAATCATTAACATTTCTGGTTAACTTAAAACAGGACATTAACCTTTTATAACCCGCAAGTCAATCCAAATGTGCATTCCCATTGCAAATACCCTCTGTAGGACCCAGGGATACAGCTCCGAGGGCTAGAACGCATGCTTTACCCCCAGCACCAGATGGTTTCTTGAATGTCTCAGTGTCAAGAGAAGCCTCAGAACACCTCTGGGTGTGACTCAAAAATGGAAAAAAATTAAAAATTACCTTTCCTGTTTTGAAATGCGACACCAGGCATGCAATTTAGGATTGTGTTCCTATGTCACAGTTTTCTCGAGTAAGAGCGACACACAATTATTATAGATGCTCAATGAGCAGAAAACATTTTTCAAATAACAATAGTAACAAATGGTTCAATGTCACTGTATTCTGAGAATCTACTCTGTGCCAGGAATTAACATCTATTACTTCCTTTAATCTTATGCAGGGGCGATGGTGATCCCAAGCAGTGCCCAGGAGGTCGAGGGGGCCCCACCATCAATTCTTGGCTCACTGGGATGTCAGTTCAATGCGGGGGTCTGAGGATACAATACTGCTCCTGACCTGCAGTGCTGGCAACATCCAGGCCACCACAGAGATGCTCAAGGGCCTCACAGGCTGTAACCTGTGATGCTTAAGGGGGCTAAGCCACTGTACTACCTTCCGGCCCCCTCATTTAATCCACCCAAAGCCATCTGAAAAGACTCTCAATATTTCTGCTTCATAGGTTAGACATGGAGGGCTGGGGAGTGAGCAAGCAGGTGTGAGAACGAGGAACATTCATAGCACCCATCCGCCAGCCAGTACATGGCAGAGGCAGAATTTACTCCAGAGCCCATTTCCCTTCTATCACTCAACCCTGCCAGCCTCAGAGCACAATGCCTTATTACTTGTGCTCATGGATTGGTTATTTGGGGTGGGGGGTGTTACACCCATCAATATTCATCAATATTCAGGGATTCCTCCTGGCTGTGCACTCAGGAATTACTCCTGGCAATGCTCAAAGGACCATATGGGATGCTGGGGATAGAACTCAGGTTAGCTGTGTGCAAGGCAAATGTCCTACCTGCTGTACTATGGCTCTGGATTATTTTTTAAGTGCCAATAATCCCCTCGTGGATTGTTTTTTAAGTGCCAAACGTCATACGCTCAGTGTCAAAGAAGTCCATATAAAAGTGACAGGCAGAGAGAACAGCAGCTGA